TACAAGCGTAGACTTTTTCCTGATTATTAGATTGTAAATCTAGAAATCAATTTTATCCGATGAAATCATTTCGTAACATAATAATTTATCAATGACAATCTATAGATCATTTTCATTTTTGATATTATTTTGTAAACAATCTTAAGATGATTACTTTAGTTATAACAGTAAGTGAGTCAAAAGATTTATGTAGTTAGTCTTTCTAAAATTTTTACTTATAAATATTATCCAAAAAAAATGCCATATTCAATCCATGCCGCTTGTTTTAATAATGACTAACATTATTTTGTGCCACTTATACATACATCTGCGCTTTAAGATCATCAAAGTGATGGGAAACATTTTAAAGTATTTACAAGGATTCAAATTTAAATTTATGCTGAGAAAAAAACTCTGGCATAAGTTTGAATCCTATTGAGGAAGAAAAAAATGACCAATAAGTAAAAACTGACCGTAATTAAAATTTGATAATGTGTCCATGTTGGTAATTCACTCACAGAATTCGCACTAAGACAAAATGAGCATTAAAAGCCATCTCTTTTTCAACATGATTTGGTGGAAAAAAAATTGGAATTGGAATGAGTGGAGTGATTTGGAAATGATCGTTTAACTAAGAAATAAAAGAAGATTGAAGGACTAATAGTAAAATGAAGAAAGGAAAGAGGAGAGGAAATATGGGGAAAAACAGTATGAGGGAAAAATAGAATCGCCCACGAGTAATACAAAAAAGAAAATAATTTTATTTTGAAAAAAAAAAGAAAATTAAGAATTTGATCCTGCTATCCTTTTTTACCCTTCTGCCCTTTTCCTCTTATTGTAAGTGTCCTTTACCTCTCTCTCTCTCTTTCTCTCTCTTCCTCTTTCTCTCTCTTTTATTCTTAGTAGAGAGTTAAAACTTCCTCAATAAAATGTTTGGAGCGGCACATTACAAAGACTTCTTTACTAAAAAGTCCACGCCGATCGGTTCGTTTCGGATTCGCTTCCAACTAACTAACACATTTCACATTTATGGTACTGAACTATGTAATATATGAATGTATAAGTTCAACTCATTCTCTTTCTTTTTCTTTTTAATTTTCATTACAGTGAAAATATTACTCCTTCTCAAACAGAAGAAAAAAACGCTTCAGTAATTAACTGTAAATATTAAAATGCATTAAATAATAAATTTAACTAATTAAAGATAGTAATTTGCTTTGTAGCAAAATAATGCTTTCTTCACTGTGATTCATTTTCGTAAATAGCCAAACTTTTAAAAATATTTTAAATATTATGAAATGACATACGATAATATGCATATGAAAAAAGTGAGCCTAATGAATGTAATTTGGCTTTTTTTCATCATAGCTTTTCAGTTTCACTAAAAAAACTTTTTTTTCCATATCTCACAATAACTAAACTGTAAATAAAGAAAAAGAACAGATGTCTATCTATTTCCGTTGTCTATATTTTGCATAAATCAGTTCGAGAAGGCACATTTCAGCACCGTTAAATAAATTAAACCCATTAAAATTGGTCACCTCTCTTCCATCTCATCAGAATTACAAATCGTAGTATTTGTCTTTTATTCACAATCAAGCAAATGTTGATAATGAGTTCCGATACAATGAAATACTATTTGAATTATTGAATGATCCATTTTAAAAACATATTTATATGTTTTAAAAATGGATCATTCAGCAACTTCAATAGTCTCCAGTCCAAATTTTCATTTCGTTAATAAAATAACGTAAATGGAAGATTTACCTCCTCATGCCTTCCATATTACGGGAAATACGTGTTAGCCCATATAATTCCATTACTTTTCAGGATGAAATCACATAATCAATTTGTTATGTTGAAGTGTAATGATTTAATTCATTCCAATTACATAAATTTTTCAATATTTTGTTAACTGTTATATTTCATCTAATTCACTACCTTATCGCATATCAAATTTTCGCAAGTTTTAATGTATTTAATTAAAACCATTTTCTAAATTTTCTCAATTCATTCATCACTTCCATATTCCAAAGTTACTTTACAATATTATCACTGTTTTACTCCCAACATCTCCAATTTTATACAAAAAGAATCATTAGATGAAAATTTGTTTAGTTATATAAATCTAAAAAACATTTTATCTAATGCTGTCATAATTTCAAATCACTTTATATTTGCCGTATACAATTCTTTGAAAAATTTTTTAGCGGTACCGTTCGACAAATCAGTACCGTTATTTTATCATTCAGTCTAGACCGTAATCTTCTTCCTGCTCCATTTATCATATCATATTATATAGGGTTTACTTTTGAAGCGGAGTTTAGACTAATCCAATCGAATTTCTGAATTCTAAATTCCATATTTAAGAAAATGAAATTACAGTTGCGAAGAAATGGATCCTGCTAAAAGATGTGCTTACAGTTCATCAAGATAATTCACATTTTCATTCGTTTAATTAATCAACTTTACAGTAATGTAACTTGGCTTGAAAGTGCTTATCCGCCAGCATGATTACAATAGGCTGAATTCATGAAATATAAATTAAATAAGACAATAAATATTGCTGAAATAAATAAGAGCTAATCAAATAATGCAGAAGCATACCGGTATAAGCACGACGTAGTGTTTTAACCGCACATAATTTCTCATGCTTCAATGAAACATTTGTTCCATTCGTGCTGGAAGGCCAATCAAAATTGAAATTAACTTGAATATCGAATTTGCCAGTCCTAATTCCTACACATCGATACTCAATGTTGAATGCTATAATGATTTTGCTTTCCTTTTGTAAAATTATTCAAGAAATTTTAAAACCAAAAATCTCGGGTTCAAACAAATTCAGTGTAAAATCCTCATTAATAATTGCTTGTCATAAGTGATTATGAATGCTTTGGATTATTAGTAGGAATAATGCTTTGATAATTTAGTGATTAATTAAAAAAGAGAAAAATTGAACATTAGAAAAAAACTTTTTTTTAGCTCACTTAGCTAAAATATTTTAGCAATATTCCCATGCTTGACAATTAAAATTGAACTAACTTTCCGTTTTTAATGGAACTTTTCCACCGGAAGGTATTTGAAGTAATGGCATCACAGCACTATCATGTGATATCACTCGTATTGCATAATGCACCTGTAGGAGAAAATATTTTCCATTTTAAGATAACAGAATTATTCGAGGAGTTAAGAAGTAGGTAAGTGCGGATTCAATTCATTTTAATTTCCAGTAAGTTTTAAAAGATGAAGATTTAATTATAGATATCTTATGGATATCAATTAAAAGATATTAATTATTTGGCATGAAAACATATGCAATCCATGTGTGTTTTTATTAGTTCTCACATTTACACGAACGGTTTTAAAATTTCAAAGTTAATTGAAATAAGAATTAACCGGTCGATCAAGAAGTTTTGCATTCCAAGAAAATTGCACATAAGAGATGCTAATATTGATTCGATAGGGAAATTTGACAGAATACAAGTTGACAATACCATTTTCAATATAATTCAGCTGTACATCCAAACCTATAATTCTATCCTATTTTTTAAAATATACAAATTTTAATGAAAATTAACTTTGAACATAAATAGTCAAAAATTTGATTCTGTAAAAGTAAAGTGAACAGAATGATAAAATTTGCAGTAGAAAATATGAAAATGAGTAAACAAATAAAAAATCGCAATAAGTGATAAAGTAAAATTAAGAAAAAGTCATTCAAAATTTTTATTTTTACCTAAAGTTCGATTCATTTCAGTTTTAGCAATGAATAAATTAATCACTGAATACACCGAATTACTGAAGGATAGTATTTGTAAAATGATAATAAATGTCCACTTCATTTGATGTTATTTTCAAATATTTTAATCCAATGGCTTTCAGCCCAACGGTTCATTAAAATCCTTCTTAACATCAATTTTTTTTTCCTAAAAAAAAACGTTGAATGTTTTTAAAAATTAAAAAGAAAACTTAATTATAATGATAATTTCAAAACCTAAAAGAGTAATAGCGGCTATTATCTAAAGAAATTCAAATCAAAAATGTATAACGGAGATTGCGCGATAAGACTGAACAAATCGTAAATCGAATTTAATCGTAGTTACTTCTTAATGTATGTATACATTACACAAAATATATTTTCCTCGGCTAGTCTGAGGATTCCAGGTGTACTTGAAAAAGAAACGAAAATTCATTCTGCACGATCTATTAATTTTCAAATCAAATCGAATTTTTTTTAGAAACTTCAGAAGAATTGTGCAATATTGAAATCAGAATTCGAATATGATAGTGTTTAATATAAAAAAGTGTAAGAAAGGATGATGCTGAAAAAGAAGGACAATGAAGGAATTGAAATAAGTGAAATTTGAGGATAGTGAAATAATACTATCGCAAAATGAAAAAAGAATAGCAAAAAGTATCCCGCAGGGAAAAAATCTTCTCAAATCGGGTTGAAATTGTGCATACAGATTTTTTGTAAATTTCGTTCACATCCATCAATTTTAAATTCATAGAATGCAAAAATAACTCCAAGCATCTCAAACAGTAATGCAATACTTGACCTAAAAATGAGTGAGTTTGGGAGTTACTTATTATTAGGTTGAATTGAAGAAATGTAGTTTCAGCTATAATTTGCAAATGAATGTAATGGAAATGAATTGAATTGAGTTGCATTGAATCGGACTGATCTAAATATCAAATTGAACCAAAAATAAAACAAAAAAGTGTTTTAACATTTAAGTTCATTGTGATAAAAAAGAAAAAGTTTAATGATCATTGAAATTGAAATCTTGGGAGGAAATAGAGACAGGAAGAAAGAGTGAGGGGAGAGAAAGGGAACATGAATGACAAAAAAGTTAACATGTCAATATCTAAAATGTAAATTCCTTTAGAATTTGAACAAATTTGATTAGAAGAATTTGAAGTTGATTAAAGATCGTTTTAAAAATTTATTCGCATAATAAACATGAAATCTCAAATGTTTAAAATGAAATTTTTTCACCATAGGCAATCTTTCTTGTCAGCAATTGCCTTTTTTAGTTCATATTTCAACATATTGAAAATTGATCTATCATAAAGTTGTAATAAGAGATGGAAAAATAATTTTATTCTTTAACACGAAAAATTTTATTCGGTACCACTGAACGATATTAAATCTAGAGATAAAAGTGAGAGATAAAACAGTATCACAAGATTGCACGGGTTATTTTAATTATCACATTATATTTATGTGATTGAATTTATGTGATTGAATGATTTGCTATTACTGAAAAGACTATGTTTTTTGATGAGCGCATCATTTCTTTTAAAATCTGCAACTTTTTAAAAACAACTAACTGAAAAACAATTAACGGATTGCGATAAAACTGAAATTAATTGTTAACGGCAATTGTTCAGAAATAAAATTAAATAATCGTAGCTTAACTTTGACTCCAAATTGATTTATATTATGATTATTTCATTGAATCAAAATAAAAAAATGATGATGAATTATGCCTAAAAATATATAAAAACAATTGTTAAATGAACGTGTACTTTTTATCAAATGTTTTCTTTCTTTCTTTCTCTCTCTCTCTCTCACACACACACACACAGACACACACACACACTCTTTCGGATAATATCACTGGCAATTTTCAAATTTTTTTTTGCAAGTTCGAATCTCGCCTCCTTTTTGATGATCGCGCGTTTTAGTGATGAGATGACTGTTAGCTATTAGTCATCACTATATCATTGGTGATGATCAGTGCTGTTTTTGATCACTCATGTTAGCACAGAAGTGATGTGCATGCATAGCTGGCGCTGTTGTACATGCTTGTATAATCTTTTAGGTTTTTCAGTGGCCTCACACACCCATACAAACATATATGTATATTTAATCTTAATGCCAAATGACCTCCACGATATGAGCGCACTGGTAGGAAGCATCAGTGATATGAATGTCCCCCTTACCGATTTCTTCCAACAAAAAAGATATCCATTGTGGGAACTAACTTATAAGGAAAGGAAAATTGGAGTTCAATGGTCGTTAGTTGCCACAATACCATCCTTGTTGACAGTAAGGAATAAAATAAAAATAGTAAGACGGTACAGTGATAAGATTTATTTATATAAAATATCATGCAAGAAAATGTGATATACACAATGATCAATAATGACTACATATTCTGCTTCATGAGCTTTCTCCACATGAATTGTGGCGCTTATGACGTACATTCTTTAATTAATGAAGTATAGAAACGCAATCATCTCTTTTAGGCACCAAATGAAGAAGCAATCTCTTTTAGATTTAGCTAATAAAAGATAGGGGAATAATGTTTAATGTAAAGTACCAAGTATATGAATTAACACCATATAATTTGCTTTTTTTTTTATTTTCTAGACAGAAATACTGGGAAATTTTTGAAAATTTATAAATGATGCAAATAAATTCAAATAATAAACAAACCGAAAAGGGGAATCTCAAAGAATAAGCAATAACCGATGAATTATCGATGATTTTAAAGCACAATGTTTGAAATTTTAATATTCATCATTGAAATTTGAAATCTAAAGTTTTGTCAATTTATTTGCTAAGATAAAGAAAGATAGGAGAGAATGATTTTAATATAATTATCGTTTTTCTTTTCATGTGTTTGTTTGAGCAAAATGAACTGATTACAACCGGTAATTAAATTAAAATTTAACATCAAATCTCATTTTCAACGAATAAAAATTATAAGATGATAAGTTATAAAAACTGTTATAATAATAAAAGACAATAAGTTAAATTTTCTTATTATAGGTAATAAGTAAGTTATAATAATATAATATAGTAAGTTATAATAAATATAATAATTTAACGGTTGATTTCAATGTAATAATTAATTCGATAACCTTGAGCTGCACATATATCTCAATAATAGCAAGAATAATTAGATTATATGTAGTAAGAAGGACCATTTTCACGTCTTGAGCAAAGTTAGAAAATATAGAATATTGAAATCAATAAAAGTCTAATAAGCATTATTAATTTAATAAGCAAACATTTACGATATCGTTTAGAAAGTCCACATATTGTTGTATTCGCGCATACAATGAATCATATCATTACGAAGGGATACATTTGCATCGAATGATCCAACCAACCGTTGTAATTTGAATGGGTAAAGATAGTTGAATGTTTAGCAGCGCTACTGTCCTATCGTTGGTATGCATACGTTTTAATGATTTATCACAAAAATGTTTAATAAAATGAGTGGAAGAGGGAATTAATCTAAATGTAATTAAAATGTTTAAACAATAAAGGAGGAAGGGAGAAGAAATGCTAAGAAAATGATGATATTTAAGAGAAAATTCATAGTATTATCTAATAGTCTCTTAATGATAACATACAGAGAATAGAGAAAATGATATTTTCTCTCTCGATGACATGTCATCAATATTATCACCTGCTATGGTGCAAAACCAAATACAAATCTAATGGGGGAAAATTAATAACTAACTCAGATAATTAATGATTAACTAACTGACTCATCGACAAATCATCAGGGAAAGAAAGAGAGAGAGAGAAAGAGATGAAAGAGAAAAAATCCTAGCAAAAACCCGAGGATTAAGATTTTCACCCCAAAATCATCCGTAATTTTAAAATTCCTCTCTTAAATGATTTGCTCAAATTAGAAATGTAAATTATCTGAAAAGTCTTAGCAGTTCAGCCTAATAAACGCAAACGACTAATTATGCATTGTAAAAAGTGCGTTGTTTACATTACTTATACAACACATGGACATTGAAAAGAATCGAGTCGTTGATCAACAAAGGATAAACCTCTGATTACTTAGAGCTATAGCTTGTCCGATCAGATGGCATTCCTCGTTTCGACTTATTTCTATTGTCTTTTGTATTCAGATGCTGATGACTTAGTGTTATCATAGAGCAGTTGCTGCTTTAGCTTAAAAGTTCTCTGAACTTGGTCAACTTTATAAGATGACAAAAAGAAGGGGAACAAAGAAGTCTGAGAGATGAAATGTAAGCAACGCAACAAGTAGATAAATGCTATTTGATTTAACGACAAATTTCAAAAGATGAAATTAGACAAGGGTGAAAAATAAAAGAACGAAACAAAAAATTGCAAAAAAGATAATAGAATTAGGACTTCATTGCAAAAAGTTTATTTTGAACTGGAAAAACAATACATAAACAATGTTACAACTGTAAAGGCTTATTTATTGCCCCTCGCTTCTTTTCTTCCTTCTCCGGCGGCGTCTCTTTAAGGCACCAGTTTTCGCATTTGGCCCCAATTCCTGGTGATTACTGGTTAAATGGGTCTTTTTTTTCTTCTTCTTGACCGAAAGAGGATTCGGTCCTTTTGGACCTTTTCTCTTCCGTCTCGGCTTTTCATCTTCACCAAAAACAGCCTTTTTTAGTTCACTCACTTCAAATAACTGATCTTTTGGCTTTTCGATTTCCTTGAAAAGACTAGATCAACATTTTAATCATTTTCTCACATGCATCTGCCAAAGATTAAATCTCTTCGGAAAGAATAAAACTTCCAAATCTAATAGTTACTTTGATGCTCAAACATGCTCCGGAGACAAGCACATTTCTGTAAAATGAACTTAAAATTGTGGTGGATAGTTGGAAAGTAACTGTTAGAACTATGAAGTAAATCGATTTAAATAAATAACGGTTTACCTGAATAGTAGCCTGACTGGGTCTGTCGATCAAAATTGTATTATATTTGATGAACAAGACTGGTATACCGGGAATCTGCTTCAAGGCTTCCGTGAGCTCATTATCCTACAATTTAAAGGTGATTATTCATATCAGTTAGAGATTCAAAATATCACAGTTCATTTTACCTGCGTTGCAAAGAAGTATGTTATTCTACGTTTCATTCGACGTGCCATATGCTTGATGCACTCTACTGCCGTTCGAACAGGTTGATGGGGACATGATTCAACCTAAAACACGTTCTCGCTGTCGGTAAATTTCCAAAAAAGTTAAAATTTGCCATTCCAATCTAAAAAAGGAAAGGGGACAAATTTAACGCAAGAAATCTCAAATATAAAGAAAATAAAAAAAGGCTCGCTTACATCAAATTGCTTGCAAACATGCAACGCACCATATAACGTAGACCCCAGTTTTTCTAATTCTTTAAGCACACAGCTGGTTACCCGTATATCAACTTCCTGAACATAAGATTATAGAAAATTTTAGAGATCGAACAATCTTCGATATCATACCATTATAACAATAGTAGTGACAGTGATTCAATGAGAATAGCAAAATGTGGAAGTAAACTATTGGTATAGAAGTAATAGTGTAAATTAAGGCTAAGATAATACAGTACAATAAAAATATATACATATAGTAATCAAGCATGCACAATAACAAGGGATTATTCGAAAAATAAATAGAAAAAGCTTACAGCATTTAAATATTTTGGCATCTGTTCTCGCAAATTAATTTTATTTTTTAGTGCAGCCACAGCAAAAGTACCATCCAGCAAAACTTTGTAAGGTGGTCCCAGGCTGAAGTTATGTCGATAAATAGAGATGATACGCTTCGCTCGTTTGTATCGTTTTACCTTCATTTCATAGAAGCTAGTCGAATCTGAAAAGTCCGGTTGAATATTTTAGAAAATTGAGAATAATAAACTAATAAAAAATGGAAAATAATGAAATAATCAATGAAGAGACAATAGATTCATTACATTGCAATCCAATCGCCAACTGCATTGCAATATGACATAGGGTATTAAAATTTCATGCTTATCTTTTATAACAGTTGCACATGAAATAAATCAGTCTATAAGCTGTGCTGCATTAATCACATGGTGAAAGAAAATGGATAAAAAAAAAACATAAACTGAAAAAAATTTCCTTCAATGTATGTAACATACCTGTTTTTCCACACAATTTAACAACGATGCAAATTCACGTTGACAAGCCAAATAAGTTACTTTCCCGGCTTTCTCTGCGACACACTTCCCGTAATCAAATGCCTAAAATTTTTCTTAAGATCCCTACAACAATAATGAGGAACGTAATGTTTTCCTAAAACTGAACTACCAAATATGTGAAATATACATTTCTAACAAATTTCAAATAAGTCAGACATTACTAGAAGCCACGTCTAAAGGTCAGAAAATCCATATGATTAGGAACAGACTATATTACTGAATGGCCATAGAATCTTGAAGTGAGGTAAAGCGTATACCCACCTCACGTGAACAATTGCTCAAATATGTTGCATATTTGTACAGTTTTCGCTCACTTGGCATATCCACAACTAGAATTACCATAGGACAAAACAGTAATGAATGGTATCTTCAGCGATTTTCATCTCAATAATAAAATTATAGATTAACTTTCACCATATGACTTTCTTTTTTTTGCAAATGATTTTAGCATCTCCTCATCCACTGCAAAAGTGCACTTAAAACAAGAAACTCTCGCGACGAAATCTATAACTTTAATGAAATATAGAGGTAGAATAGATATCCCGAATGTTTTCATAAAGAACAGTACTGTATTAATGAAGATAACCATACATATTTATTAAAACATAAAATGCATAAAGTGTTAAGAATTGATCAACTGATCACACTCGACATATTAACTAATCCTAAATAGGGTAATCAAATTTATCGTATTTATTGTACGAATTATTACAATAATTAGTAGTTCAGATTATCTTGAAAAACATGAAGTTATATCTCCATATGATTGTCATACACAACCGTTCCGAGAACATTCTATCAATTTTGCCTAGAGTTATTTGATCATTTAGTTCTTGTTATTAGCTTTGTAAGTTCGAGTTTTCACAAAAAGTGAAATCATACTTCTAAAACATAAAAATCAAACAGTCTACATAGACGTACGGCTTTCGCTCCCGGAAGTAAAGGATGAGTAAGATTTGAAGCTTCGAAGCCTTTCATAAAATGAGTTAAAGAAATGGGATAAAATTTAAACTAATTAGCTAGCATACTTAACAACGTGGTATACTTAAGATATAATACATAATTGTTATCGATCATTAAAATAAATAACACAAGAAAACAACAGTTTTGATTTCTTGAACGTGATATGAGAGTACAATAAAATAAGAAAAATGAACGAAGAAAATTTCAAAACTATACCATTCACGCATCAACAAAATACTCCATCTTTTTTATTATATTTAACTTGCAGAAGCTATATAAGATCACATTTTAACCAACTCTAAACAACTATGGCCCAAAATAAAATAACCTCAGCTATGTAATCTTGAACGATTCTGTAGGAGCCTTTTTACGGAAAATGAAATGAAGATAGCTTACATAAAACAATTCCACGGAGACTACGGACTTCTCAATCCTTTATTCTTAGCCTACTTCATCAAACGAATATACAAATGATCGTTGTACAGAATTTTTTATTTGCTTTTAATCTTTAACTACTCCAACTATTTCGCTTAAATTAAACTGATGAAGAAAGTCAATTTATGAAGAAAAAACAGAAAATATATGTAAATAAATAAAATTATCACAGTTTAACAGGAGGAAGTGAAAAAACATGCATAGAAAGTGAGTGTAATTCGGTGGAACAAAGAATATTTTGTATTGGTGAATCGAAATCGCCTCGAGATAAGGTATGGAAACTATCCGTAATTAAAGGCAGTATTCTTGCCATCGGCATCTCTCGACTATTGCTATGTCGGTTTACAAACTGAAATTCATACGTAACATTGTAATAAAATAGTTTTCATAATGATAGACAGAACAGAGCCATGCTCGAACAAAATGAAGACTTATAAACATAAATAAACAGGACAATTCTCATCAGCTAAGTAAAAAACAGAAATATCTATGAAACATGATTAAGACTTCTACTTTAAGAAAAAAGGTGATATTTTCACTAACGTTTACTACGGCATCAAAAAAGAAATCGACTAGTGATGATGTTACTTCCTTGCATTTCGTTGATTCTAACATTTCTACAAGACGTCTTAGAAGCACATCTAGCTGACCAAAGTTTGGCAACGCAAAACCATTCTGCAAAGTAAAATAGAATGTGTCTGATAAAACACTCGAAATATAAAATTCATATAAAGTCAGAAAAATTTAGTACGATAAACATCACGAGAGAAACGATTACCTGATTCGCATATTTTGGCACAACCAGATATGAAAAATGTCGGCAATCCAATAAATCCATTCTTCTTTTGAGATTTAATAAAATCGCCTTTAGGTGTTCTCCGTCC